TAAATTTATAAAGAATTATTGAATATGTACATAGTTTTGCATCTCAGATGAAATGTTGCAACAAAAACTTTCTTATTAGCCACCAACAGATTGATTAGATATTAAGCTCACGACCTTTAATTGCAAATCACTATTTAAGAAAAAAATGTTTTCAAACAACATAAAAACAGATAAAATAATCTCCAAACAACAATCCGGAATTTGTACTCCTTAAAGTACGAGTTAAGTTGTCATTTTAATCGATACTTGATCTCCATTTATTACCCAGTGCGTTTTTCTTTTGTTGATAAGTAGGAGATTGGTTTATGCTTTATGTACCGTCAAACAGACCGTCATCGGAATAGTGTGCCCGACTCTCTAACATTTTAATATATAGTATACGGGATAAAATATTTACTCTTCGGAGAGACTTATTCTCCCCGGAACCGCTTTTGCATTACATTGAGGAGGGTCTCTTTTGTATTGGCGTTGTATGCCGTTCTATTTTGTTTTTCGATCTGTGTTCAGACCTTGATTTTTTTCCCGCATATTTTGGTGTCTGCCCTATTTATTGGCTTAGTTTCTGTTTTATGTTTCAAGGTCTAATTATATAATGTATATAAATATTCATAATCTGTTTTTGAAACGATTGTTCTGTTGATCATATGTATGTTTTCATTTGATATGTCCACATATAAAACTTTATCATTTCTGTAGTTAATATTAATATTTCAGCGGAAGTGTTTCGAATTACCTGCAACTATAAAACAAAATTTACTGAAAGAGCTAAAGGTGGTACCTCATACAACCTACGAAAAATCTATGGAGGATTGAGCTCAGCGCTGACGTAGTTATACTGAACTCGATGCAGTACTACTTTAAAAGAAACAAAACACATTTTTAAGTATTAATATTTTTAAGTATTAATATAGATATGAAGATATCTTAAGGATAGTTCCGCATTACTTTTTATTCAGGATATAATTTAAAGTGACCATGAGTTCTCATAAATTTTGATAAACACCTTAACCAGAAATATAATATCTTAACTAGGTTCACTGTTCTAACAGTGGCAGTTGTTTCACTTATTTGGAGAACATATATTTTTAACCGATTTTAACGAGTAAAACAATACAAGAATACATTTGATTTTTTTTTTAACTTATAGCAAAACTGAGCCATTGGTCGATAGGGGAAGTATAGGAAACCCTAAATTGGTGCAAAAAAATTAACAGATAATTTGAGTATAGTATTATTTCTTTTATTCTCGTGGAATAAAAGGAATTTTTTGAAATATGATTGACCCTATTATTTAATGGTAAGAGATCATAACGATGAGAGAAAGTTACAAATCTTACTTTATTATACTAGTTACGAAACAATTACAGAATCGTTATTTATTATCAAGTATTCAAGATGATAGTATTCCAGAATACGATGTAATATATACATTAGATGAACAACATTCATCTAAGTTTAGTAATGTTAATCTGGTTTTGTTGTCATTTCAGGGCAACACATAATGAGGACTCACGTGACAGTGGGTGTCCCCTGAGGATAAATGTTTAAAAACATTAATAGATAAGTTGTTTGAACATTAATAGTGTTACTGTCCATGTCTCCAACACAAAGACTTGATATTTTAGAAGATTTCTACTTTGAGAACCTGAAAATGACTTACAAAAACTTGTTAAGAATAATCATTCAAATCAGATAGCTTAGCATTGATAGTTGACAACGGGTACCAGGTTAATGATTTCTATCTTAGAGACTGACTCACGATTTACCACTGATTCACATTAGTTGAAATTTAAGGTTTAAATAGTGCACTTCTCGCTAAGCATGGGAAGCAAATGTATTAAGTAATCCTTGTATAGTATATAAATATATTTATCTGTAAAATCTGACAGTTTAATTTGTAAACAATTTATTTTTATATTAGAAATGTAAAATGAATTTTCTGTTGCATTTAGTAAATAATAGTTTTCTAAATGAACTACTTCTGTTCAGCTTGCAGTTCTCAATGTATCTCAGATTTTTATTTAATTTTGCTATTTTTACGCTGCTTTCCTCTGCTAAATGGTGTATTCTGCGCATAAGAAGCGTTAAATCAGTGACAAATCTCATTAATCACTGTAGATTTGTAACAATTTAAATTATGCTCCATACCAATACTCAGATGTTAATGTATATTTCCTTACAGCCCAAATGCACTACTAAGTAACGCCACAAATAGAGCATTTCCAGAGGAAGTAGCAAGTAAGCAAATCCATTGAAGCTGCTGTCAGCTGAGGACGCATACAAATTGAATATTATAAGTTTTTCTTTATTTTTAGCTGCTGTACTAGTTGCCAATGCTGTCCTTCCGCTTCCCTTATATCGTCCTACAATTTCGCTATTTATTTACAATAACTATTGTTGTTGGCGGTTGTATTTTGATATTATGTAGTTGTAGAGTTGTAGAGTTACAAGTCATCTTCTAAGTGACTTTATTTAAGTCAATCGGTTTTATTATTTTCAAAAATTGTAAACAAGAAATTATGCAAAGTGATGAGAGGAGAGCTGCTTCCCATGGATGTAAACAATTAAAACGGAATATTAAATTAAATAATGAAGTAGAAAATGTTACACCAGAATATCAGAAATTTAAATATTGGAAGTATTGCAAGAATAATGAATATTAATTTCTTTAAAAAATTTTGTCATTTGAGTAATTTAAAGTATTGGGGAATCAATTGAAACTAATAAAAATATTTTTACTCTTAATCCTCCCTCAGGAGAACAGAGTTGAGGTTGCTGGTGGAATTTTTAGCGGGTCACCATGGATTTTGTCATCACCTTAACAAAATGGGTCTGCTTGAAGAGGTAAATTGTCAACTCTGCTTAGAAGCAGACGAGACTTACAGTCACATGCTCTGTGACTGCCCAGCCTTGATCTGTGCCAAGAGGAGGTCACTGGCGGGATGTCTTCTGTTCGGTTAGGGTCTGTTAAAGCCTGTTTATTCCTATTTTAAAAATTCTAATTATTTCACGAGTCTGCTAAGTGGAAGATGCAGTTGTCAACTCAGACAATAAAAACGAATTGCAAGGATTGCTCTTTACATTCAGACTCAGATCTGCCAAATACAATACAAAAACTTCAGTAACAAAAACTAGGGCTCTAAATATACCTAAGCCTAAGTGTGATGTAAATTAGCAAAGGAAGATTAATACATTGAGAAGGTATGGAATTGAATTATTTTGAAGTAACTTTGCCAAAGACTTGATAAGCGAAGCAGAAGCTCAAGCACAGATAGGAAATCGCATATCAAGATATCTAAATTATGTTACAAATATATCATGTTGCTTAAATTATGTTAGATATCGTAATGATCACCCAAGCGTTAATTAATATCTATGTAATACATCACTAAATTTTTAATGTACATCAATAAATACATAGATGTCTTTATTTAAGAATACAAATAATGCAAATACAAATAAATTTTGCATTTTTAACGAAAAGATCGTTAAAAAGTTCACTATCTTTGCGAAAAGAACACTAACAAGAATATTAAAAACTTCACAATATTATATATGTCGGAAATAGTACACTATAAACTAAGAGTAAGAACACTAAAAAAAGTTTGATGTATTTCGGATTTTATTTAGTGTACTCTTCGTTTAGTGTTTTTTAACCAAAATACAAAACAGTACACTGTGTTTTGTACTTTACAGTTTATTTTCGTTCATTGCTGCAAGTGCATAATATATGGTCTATTTGGTCTATTTCTAAGGTATCTTCCTTCTTAAATCTCAAATGAAGATATCTGAGGAATAAATAAATTTAATGATAGGAATGACAACGTCATAGCCAAAGAAAGTTTAACAATTCTATTGTAAAAAAATAATGACAATTACATTCACATATTAAAATATCAAACTTTTTAAATTTGCTACTAATCTTCTTAATCAGTTATCAATTATTAAGGTAAACATCAACTGAGTGAGATAATAGGCCTGTTCCACGAGCTACTCGTAGTTACTTTGAGTAACGCTGTGTATACACAAGTGCCTTCCACCAGCAAATTTTCGTGTAAATTTTACTTGAGTTTTACTATGAGTAGCTCGTGAAACAGGCCTAATATTCAATAGAGTTACAGCTTTCTATTGTTAATGTGTTTTTTATGGTTGTTGAACCCATATCTCTATTTTAGGTGGTTTCGACTTTTGATGCAGGATTGATAATAGTAGAAAGATGACTCGAGGATTCAGCTATTCCCTGAACTATCAATATTATTGTTGTTATTAAAACTCGAAGAGATATGTGGATTATATGACAAATTTGTGGAGTAGTATGAAATATGTTCGACTCAAAGTAAGCAAATCTTGCGAGATCGATCGGTACCATAAGTTAAGAAGGTCAAAACCGGTGCAATTGTGGGAAACTTTTCAAATAGACGAATTTATATTTGACAACTACCAGTTTAGTTATTGGCGATATTCTAACTTCAATTGAACCAGCCGCAGTTCTTGATTTTAGAGAGAGGCTTATTAAATATCTTGCTGCTATGTTCAATAGAATTCGAAGAAGACACTGCATCGCTATCGTGCGTGGTTAGCTGTCATCGATACTATACTAAGTCTTCAATATTATACAAGATAATAAGTTTATTCTGCTATTACTTTGCGATGTGATTATCAACAAGTTAGAACCGACTTTGACACTCTTAACCCCACTTACCTAGTCATCTCATAATATGTAATACAAAATATAAAAATTATTTTCAAGTTCAGTAGAACATACGTTACAAATATAAAAAACTTTTAGAATAATTTTTTAATTTCATTTATTATACATGTGTAGTCATTGTGATAATTTCAGTGTTCGTATGAAGTAAAAAAATATATATGTGTTTACAATTAAAAAAATTTAAGTTGAATTTTAATAATACAATTAAGAAAAATTTAAATTCACGACATATGACAGCAATCTCTTTAAACTAAAATTTAATATAATTGATATATACATAATTTGCACACATGGACAAATATAAACAATCCATATAAAGGAACATACTTTTATATATCGTATGCAAATATTTACTTTCTAAACCATATTAACTATGTACGTACATAGTTAATAACATAGTTCTACGGTCCATAAACCTTTAATCCCCATAAACCCAATTTTTGCAAAATTCAACTCTAATTTCGTCCAAGTGCAAAGATTACATATTAACGCAATTAATTATGTACAAATACATTAATACAAAAAATTTAATATTTACTTTATATTATGTAGTTAATTTAACTAAGTTAATTTCGTTTAGAGCTAAAGTAGCCCCTAGATATTTTTTATGAGGTCATGGCGAATTTTGGTAAATTCGATTTGGTAACAATGTTTAAATTCTTGATGACCTCCCTCGCATTTTGATGTGAGTTATTTCCGTAAACGTCAAATGGTGCCAGATTGAAGTTACTAAGTCTAAAAATTAATCCAAAAAATTATATTTAAAAAATATTATAACTTCTCCAATATATTAAAAATATAATAAATAAGATAACTTAATCAAGCAACTTAATTAAGCAATAATTATAATTAATTAAGGCTAAACCATGGCAAAATAATGAATGAAGATATGATTAGTTATGATAAACAAATCTAATTGTAGTGTATGGGTACCAACCTCTCTCCAGATATAGCTTGTAAGAATTTAAAGTAGCTTGAACGCAGATTCTTAGGTTCTAATACGCCGGCATGAAATAGTACAGCAGTGCAGAAAGAATATAATAATATTTTAAATCCAGGTACTTTAGGGAGAACCTTTTTCTCAATTCCGTAATTATAAACGATCTAAAATAGAGTGAAGATTACCAAAAATTATTGTAGTATAATAGAATTCTTCACTGTTCCGAACTTACTTGTAACGTTTTCCACATAACATATAACGCAACTGTGACGTCGGGATATTGTGTAAAGGCTATACTGCCTATAAGACCAGCTGGTATAGCAAAAAGTGGATCATCTTTACCAAAAGTGCGCCTTAGTAAGCAAGAGACAGACTTAAAAGAAAGTGTGAATAAATAAAATTAATACATTTGAATTAAGTTAAAACGTAAATGCGTGTATTATTTGTAATGTAATATTTTTTTTTCCAATTCATGATATTTACAATACAGGTTCTAATTATTTTATAATATAACTGCTCAGCCATATGCTATTAGTAAAAAAATACTAGATTTAAAGTCTGCCGTCTGAGTCTTAAACAAATACCTGACCCAAAGATATGTTATTACTATTGGGGACAATCTATAACCCATTTTTTGAAGAGAAAAAAGAAATATATGGGGTGATTAGTGGACGCTGAGAGTTACAGGTGAATTAGTATTAAATTTGTGCAAGCAGTGGAAGAGTTACACAATAAAGAGAATGTTAGTGGTGGGTAGCTGCTTGGTCTTTGGTCACGAATTTACGAGTTTTGTAGCTACTGGGTATAAGGGCACTTATGGTATACAAAAAGAATAATACCAAACTGGCAAATTTTCAGACGTGATAAGTTCGATGATTCTTAGCTAAACTTTAACCAGTTTTTGAAATAATTTGTGTGCTGATCCCATAAATCAGCTCTATTAAAATACAATATTTCGTGACAATGTTTCAAATGAAAATATATGTATAGAGTCGTGAATATTAAAGATAATCGTGCGAAAAGAGTTATAGTTTCATTTCAGGGAACCGACTATCAACGGTTAGGAATATTGACTTTGTAAATGCTTCCTGATTCCTTTTCCAAGTTTACTTTGATACTTTAATGATATCTAATAAATAACTATGAAACCAGAGGAATAAATCATTTGAAGATATATATTGCTTAGCAATGTTACACAAATAATTTTTTTCGAAATAAATATCGTATAAGCAGGGTTTTCAAATATTATTGATATTAAAATTGGTGCATAATTTTATTTCATGTTTTAGTATTTGTAAATTTTATCAAAATAGATTTTGAGAAAAACGAATTTAAGACTTTAAGTAGTTGTCTATTATCTATTATAGTTATCTATTAATATATATGGCTTATTGTAAACTCCAAACCCAGTTTCCAAAGCACGCCGAATTGACAACGTATTTTAATAGCATCAGCTATTTTGAACAATTTTTTCCACTACGTTATATGTTGATATAGCTTACTTTTTATGATATCTAAATTTACAAGTTTTAACATTTCACGTTAATAACATTAACAAAAAAAATTACACACGATATGTACTGCCAACTAGTACATATAATCTTTGTACTGTTTACACTAACACAACTAGTAACAACATTTAGAGGAAGGCATGTAGATAACTTAGTTAAAAAATAGTTCAAAAATTGCTATTTCTACTAGCAAATATATATGTATTTATACATATAGAGTACTACTTAAATATAGTTTAACCAAAAATTTACCTTATACAATAAAGAGAAGCTGCCCAGAAAGATTCCCAATTTCAGCGTCTCCCGATTAAATATACTCTTACGCCAGTTCATTCTGTTTTGTACAATTTTCTTGATATTCATTATAAGTTTTAGGGCTACTTGTAAGCTAATACCACCAATGAAAGGCTTCAGTCCACCGAATGCAGCATAACTGATACAGCTCTCCTTATGTGGACATGATTTGTGTTTACTCTTAAGCGTATCAATAAAACGTCCATAAGCTTGTACTATGCCATTTATTGTAGTTAAATTGAGCGGTGTTCTCGATTGCGTTGTACTTGTTTCAGGCTTAGCTTCTGCTATTGTTCTTGGTCCCTCTTCTGGTTTTCCCACAAATATACGTAATATATTAAATATTGAGTCTTTACAACTGGTTTTATGTAAACCTAATCGATATAGATAAAGTAATATTGATATGCTAACACCGAATATAAGTGTTTGTCCATGTGGTATAGAGCGCACGAGACCACGTGACTCAGCCATATTCCAAATAGTCTCTGTCGCTACATTTGCAACGTATAACGTGAGCAAAGAGCGCCGCTCTGGACGTTCAACTAAAAGTGCTGTAAAGCTGGCGAAAAATGCGGGCACAAATGACACTGTAAGCCAGTAATAGCCACCCAGCAGATAACGTATAAAGCAATTATATAATATGAACGAAAAGGCATTTGTACATAGAAAGGCTGTGGATTGCAAGATCCCACGTATTGTCTTAATGAGATCGTCTCTTTTAGGTATGCGATGTCGCATCATAAGCGATATCTGTTAAAGGTAAGAATTTAATAAGTTTTATGAGTTCGTTGTTGGTACATATGTTATCATACTTACCATATATACCATTGTATATACGCGCAGGCAATATGGTATTGATGCTAGTAGCAGACCAGCTGAAGCATTTGCACAATGTTTGGTCCATGGATGTTGAAATTCTTGGCAGGTGCATAGCACTGGAGTCAGAAACTTGCTTTGTACATTCGTCATTCTCTTTTCCTTTTATAAAGTAAATAATTTATGGTGAAGTTTCGCGAAAATAAACTGTAAAAATAAATTTTACTTATTATTATTAATAATAATCATAATTATGAAGTGAAATATAAAATTTGGTAATTCTGGACCCAAAGTTAATGGTTCAGTAATTTTAAATACAAACAATATTTGGAATTTCAATCCGATTGTTTAATTATAATTTTCGATAGTATCAGTTGCGTACTTTAAACCTTTTCTATTTCGAAATGTGTTTAGATTAATGTCGTGATATTGAACAGATAAGGTAATACCCTCCTGTATTGTTTTATGAGCACCTTTGGCTGAAGTAAAAAGGTGATCATATACCACGTAAAACTAGTTATTTTTATTAAATTTAATTACTGACATATAGGTATATAAATATATATTTAACTTTATAATAGACAGATATTTTTAATTAAATGCTAATAACATTTATAAATAATAATATATAATAAAGATGGTGTGAATAGTGGGGTGATAGTGAGAATAATAATAAAAAATGTATCTTTTTTTATCTTATTTCAGATACATTTTCAAAAGCAAATTATGTAAAGAAAACTGAGTCACAGCCGATTTGTGCTTTATTGTACTAATAACACTAGTTTACAGCCAAAAATTTCTAAAGACGAGACTTATATTTTCTATAGGGAAATTTATAGGGAAACTGCTTTCGAATATCTTACAAATCTCTTCCCCTGCATTTCTTTTGCAAAAATTAAAGAAGGTATCTTTGTTGGACCACAAATAAGAAAACTGATGAAGGACGAAAAATTTAATAATGTGTTGAATAAAGAAGAGTTAAAAGCATGGACTTCGTTTAAGCACGAATTTCGAAATTCGAAAAAATGAATTTTCTGACTTGTTAATAAAAACTACTATTTTGGGCAAATTTGGCAAATGGCTAATAACTTCTGAAATTTTTATTCGATTTTTATGTTAAGCCACTCAAAATGTTTGTACTAAAACAGTCTTTAATATTAATTAAAAAAAAAAATTTTTTTTAATATTTTTGTGGGAGTCCCATCACCTTGAAAATCGAAAAAGTTGAAAAAAGCGTAAAAAAAACATTTTTCATCTGTACATTTTTAGCTATAGTAGCGAAACTAAGTAAGTTACATTAACGTTATGTAACTCAAAATATTGGTATAAGTTTTACCTTTAATATGATATATTACTGACACATTACTGAGATAACTTCAGGAAAAAAGCTATGGGGGAATATGCAGGGTGATGTTTTGAGAAAAGTCAAAATAACGGTTTTTTGCCAATATCTCGAAAACGGTACACAGGAAAAAAAAATCGTTATGATTTTCGAGTTCTACGGAAAATTTCCCTATAGAAAATATAAGTCCCGTCTTTGGAAAACAAAACTTTTAATTATTTGTAAACTAGTGTAATCTTATTGAAATGAAGTACCTGTATTTTTGTCAAAGGTAAAAGATATATCGGTAGAATAATATATAATACAAATGCAATATAATAAATCGATACAACGAAAATAATTAGAGAGTTGAGAACATTGTATTTATTTAGATATAGGGTTATATTTTCATTTCAAAAAACGTGAGCATTAATATTAAAACATCATGATATTAAAACATGATATCAGCAATTTATCAGCGTTCTTGCTCTGATAATTTTGTTTATTATTTAATTAATATATTTTAATAACAAATTATAAATTTTGTTTTTTTTTTCAAACTGAAGTTGTTCATATAAATAGCAAATTGGCTTACTTTCCGAAGTTACCAGTCGTAGATATCGTCGAATAAGTGGCACTCTTCACTCCAATGAAAATTGAGTATTTTATTGAGTATAATTGAGTACATCAAACTTGTTCTGGGAATGCTTTCAACTTCTCAATACCCTAGCATCGAGGAACTATGTTGCTCTTATGTGGGTACCGGGACATGAAGGGCATGAGGGCAATAAAATAGCAGACTCACTAGCAAAGAAGGGTGCATTTACTCCTTTAATTGGTCCAGAGCCCTTCTGCGGCGTAACAAATAGCTTCACAAGTATTTTATTATGTGAACGGGAGAAACAAAATCTTTTTGAACACTGGAGAGCCCAAACAGGTATGCGGCCTTTAAGAAGATTCACTGATCCTGAACACGTCAAAGTTGACGCTATCCTTAACCTTAGCAGAAACGATATTAAAATCTAAACTGAATTTCTTAGAGGACACTGTAGACTTAATTATCACATACAGATTATAGGTTCGATAGAATGTGACTCCTGTCGACTCTATTATGAGGAGAAGGAAACATCAGAATATAATCTACGTAACTGCCCAGCGGCGACAAGACGTAGACTCGATAACCTTGAAAGCGGGATCTTAGTCCCAAATCAAATAGGTAAAATTAAGCCCACAGAAATTACGAGATTTATAAATAGTCTAGTATTGTTTTAGGCCTTTAGGTGCACAATAGATCTTTTAGGTCTAGGTGCATTCATAGCCTATTATTTAATAATAATAATTGATTATAAGAATTGGTAAGGCACTAAGTAAATGTTCAACAAAAGCAAGAATAAAAATATTGTAGTGGCTAATAAGATTGTATACAAGGGGTGTTTGATAAGTCAGTTATAATAACTGTAAAGCAAATTTTTAATATTTTTATTCATTTTGTTTATCTCTTTTTTATATAGTTTCGGTACTCAAAAGCTTGTTTAGATTGTTTTAAGTATAATAAATCAATACAGGTTTTAGAAAAATTAAGCTGTCATAACAGTAGAGTTCTCTTGAAGAGCTTGCTCTAAAAGGTGACGATGTTCTTTTATAAATTTGGTTAATAAAAATAAAAAACTAATAAAAGTAAAGCTGAACATTTCTAATCTTAATTGAATTGGTACTAAATTCAAACTTAGTCTAGATAATAAAATGTTTCTATTTAATGTAATGATAAAACCGTGGTGGACGTATGCGATGCAACGTTTGGGAACTGTTTCTAAATTAATTTTAGGCAGAGTCCGAAGATTACAATCAGAAACATTAAGAAGTAGTTGAAGAGTTTCATAGTATGTAGAAAACATTAATATGCACATTTAGTTAAGGATCGATATGATAAAGGAGATAATTGAAAAATTCAAATAATAATCAAAATTATAGATTTAGATTATTAAATCACCCTAATAACTAAACTAGAAAATTCTTAGTAAGCCATTATCCATGGAGATCAAAAATAAAGGATTTTCAGTTCATAAATTTAAATCAAAAGGGATGGCAATTCATTCCTTTCCATTCCTTTACCTTATTTCCTCTCTAACTATTTGTTAATATTAATATTGTTTATGTTTGCCAATGTTACAATAACTGTTCTCAATAATATAGTGAGTCTAAATTTAGGTAGATTCATGTATTATGAATCTATAAATTACTTTATTACTAAATCAGCTTATTCAACAGCAATTGCAACTACTGTATGATAAAGTTGTCGGATCTACAGTACATATCTTATTTAGATCCCTTTGATTTGTATTCGAAATATGAAGAAAGGTATGTTTGAAAGAAATTTTAATTGAATATTAATATAGTCTCTATAACTGATAAATATTTTAGACATCGAAGAATCGTATTTTTCAGAAGGTGTAAAACAATTGGAATACAAGTAGAATAATCAAATTGCAAATACAGATCTTCAATTCAGTTATGATAACCTTTCACTTAGTGTAACAAAGACAAGAAAGCTTGACTATCTTAAGCGAAGTACATAATGTTACTATAATATCGGTTCTCTGATATCGGAACATTAACAAATCCGAAATAGCCGATGAATTAGCGAGAGAATGATCTACCAAGCAAGAAACTCCTGTAGATATGGTGTGCAAAATTGTTGATGTGGTTAAACATTAATACTCAATACATCCAAATAGCAGATTGTAGTTGGAAAAATCATGCAATATATAAGACTCATACCCGGGTTGCAATATCAAACAAACATTATACCTAAATACTTTCTTAGTTAGCAATTATAGACGTGAATCGTCCTTATAGCTAATTAACAGGAATGCTGGATCTATTGACGAAAATAATCAGAAAGTGGAAATTCTCTAGCGATAATTAATTTCAACGAATCTTAAGGTCCATCCACACCAAAGCGAACGCTTGCGAATGAACGAACTTTTGCAGGTACCATTACCTGTAAATGTTCGTTACAGTCTGGATCTTATATGCTGCCTTGACTAACAATAGGAGAATTATGTGAATCTTGCAGCAGAATGGTACGAAAACACGAATTAGACTCAGGAAGTGTCACCATTTTATTCAACCACCAAAGTAGACATACCAATTTATTTATCACTTAATTATCAAACAGCCCTCGTAAATCACCAAGCAAGGATTTACAAAAAAAAATTTTTTAATTGTGGATGGAGTGTATTTTATATATCAAAACATTTATGTTAATATTTATTTTTATTTTTTATTGTTTGTACCTTTTGTTTATTTAAGTAACTATTTAATAAATGTTTACTTATTAATTTTAATTAATTCACAGTTATCACTAAGGCATTAAAATTGAAAAGAACAAATTATTTTTCGAACTGAAGCACAGCAAAAAATTTATGAACGAAAGAGTTCAGAAAGTTGCTTTGGTCTGAAAGTAATACATAACATGGATAAGATAAGCAATCGATAACCGATAATCGCCTTGCATAAATTATTGCTAATCCGATATTCAGCGTACTGGTATCTGTAACACCCATAAGCGCGTTTTGCAAAAGTTGTGTTTATAAAATCTTTTAATTGCGCCACTGAAGTAACCGAGCGGAACGCAAGCACAACGCAAGCAAAACGTGATAAACGAGAAATTAGATTAAATTGAGCACTGCTATAAAAGTTCAGAACTCTAAACCATCCGAGTTCATACCCGTATTTCCCCAACGTATAAGAACTGATTACAAATACGACAATTAAAATCGAAAGCAGCGTAAATAAATTCGCCCCTTCTGGTAATTGCTCAGAGACTGATTAAAATAGTTTTGAGCTGCAATCTCTGGTTCAATGGTCAGGAAATTGATACGAG